TGAGGCCAGAAGGGTACCTGTAATGACAGTCCACAAGCTTCATGTTACTCTCACAGAAATCTGCCTGTATGTTGAAAGAGGGAGATGCATGGGTGGGGGGGGTCATTTCATGTCCAGACTCTCACACTTCTTATAACACAGCATGACCTGTCCCTAACACAAAGGTTGTTGAGGGCAAGATCTAGCTCCTCGTGTTGTAACCCACCATAGCAGCATTCAAGACTTGCTGTCAGCTCTCATCTTCTGACAACCAACAACCCTGACCAAACTGCCTGATGGATAGGGAAGGATTCCAACATACAGGAAAAACAGATAAATCATTTCAGTTTAAGTTTTACTGTTTAAATATCTGGGGTTTGTAACACTTAAGTTGTAGCTCAGATTTAAGACTCCTGCAGAACTCCAAAGATGACAGGAGGACTAGCTCGGTCAACTGTAGGCACTGTCTAAAGGGAATGTCACATGAACTAGAGAAACATTTCCACCTCACAAGCATGCTGCTGTCTCACTTTTAGCACTGTACATTATCAGCCAAGTGAGGCAAGGCCAATGTGTTTAACTTCACGGCATTTTTCTTCTTGAAGCAGAAACTTTTCAAGCTGTCTGATCAATTTCAAAGACTTCACAAGAATGTTGCAGGCACCAGTGTGAAAAAAGTTCCATTTATGTTGGCAGCAATTTTTTTTTTAAAAGTGAGAAAAGTATGACTACGAAATACAGAGAGGATCATGGCGACGGAGTTTATCATTACTCTGTCCCTCTTGTAACTTCCAGTTTTCAGTCCCACTAACTGACAGCGTTCAACAGAAAACAAGCAAGAGCTGGACTTTGCCAAGCCCAGGACTGCAGCACAAAGGCTTGTTCCACACAGTGAGCTACACTGCCATGATAAGGAAGACCCTGAATATGGCAGTATTGCAGTTCCGTCCTGCACTTGGTGGAGTCTTTTGCTCTCACAAAAGCTCACCACTGTTGGAAGTTCTCAAACGTATCCAGCTGCAGCCCTCTCTCCAGTTGCAAACCTCTTAAATCCAGTTCAGAACCCCACACAGAAGCAAACACTTGCACTTTACAAGTGCAATTAATGCCTTTACAAGATCTAATTTGGGAACAACTGATCTAAATGGTAGATTTGCATCGTCAGGTATCAAGTGACAATACTTTGGTTTGTCTTCAACAGCACCCAGATGGCATGAAGAGGAGCATGTGGCAGAGATGCAACTGCTCAGAAGATGCAGAAAAATGGTCTGCACTCCTGAGCAGCAAAATGGACTCCAATGTAGTTGCCAGAGATGCTGGCACAAGCACCGGGGTGGAAACCACATCTCTGCCCTATCAACACCAGCTCAACACGTGCTTCTTTGCTTAACCTTTGTCTCCTTTACTAAATGCTGACTTATGAAATAAGACTGCAAGGGACAGAGAGATCTATTGGTCAGAACAACCCTCACACCTGGGAAGTCTCTGCTCTACCCCACCGCAGGCTTCCCATACAACCTTGAGCTTGTCACCCTGCTTTGGTTTCCCACCCTTCTTGAGAAGCTGTGCAGGAGGGTGGGGAAGGGTGCAGCTTTTTGCTTCCTCACAGGTATCTGAGGACATATATGTTGAAAATACCTTAAGCATAGCTGACACAGGCCTGTGCAAACACACTGACAGGTAACTATGTTTTATTTACTCAGACACAGCATCTTCCCAAAGCATTTTTGCAGGATTTGTCTCATGATCAAACTACCTCTTCGTACAGGCACAAACTTCCAATCTTCGTCCAATTTGCATTAAAGGTTTTGATAGAAATTAATTAAAGCACGACACGTGCACAAGAGGGCCAGAGGCAAGAGCTGAATCCATCCAAATCCAAGACGATGTTTTATTTACTCAGACACAGCATCTTCCCAAAGCATTTTTGCAGGATTTGTCTCATGATCAAACTACCTCTTCGTACAGGCACAAACTTCCAATCTTCGTCCAATTTGCATTAAAGGTTTTGATAGAAATTAATTAAAGCACGACACGTGCACAAGAGGGCCAGAGGCAAGAGCTGAATCCATCCAAATCCAAGACGGTTTTAAAAACGCAGCAGCCTGAGGACGTTACCATAACCCCGCGCTGTCGAGCGAGCACAGC